TTCTAAGGGACCCAACAGAATAGGTGTTTTCCCTCACCTGAGGATGGAAACAGATCCAGTTTCCAAAACGTCGTGTTTTTCTTAGTTATCTTTAAAACCTGGATGATGGATAAAGTCCGAAAACCAAATATCTCTGTGTGTTATGCACCATCATCAGAATCCTATAGTAACTAATTATAATACTAGTTGAAAAGAGTGCCAGTCCGACACTGATACCGAAAGTCGCAGTGGCGAAGATGCCTTTTACTCACAAAGTAATACTGGCTCAGTAGGTTTATACCTCTTCCAAGACACAAAATAAAAATGATTTACAAAGAAATATATGACAGTCTGACACTGACTTCCTAATTGATAACTCATCACTGAAAACCAATCCTTGCATGTGTCAAGACTTCCTTGAAGGCTCTGGAAGCACTTGCATGCAAGCACAGAAGAAAATTTCCTCATCAGTTCTCGAAACAAAGCTGTGCTATATTTGGCTGACCAGGTCATAAACAATCATATCTAAACGCAAATAGTATCAAAACCAGTACCATGATAAACGATTTCTTTGTTCAGAGCTAAGGAATAAACCACTGACATGACCTCATATAGGTTTGTTTTGGTTTCAAACCCAAGGTCAAACTGTCAGCACTTCCAAAGAGTGCACATGTCCTGCATCATATATATATGGCATTCGGCAAACTCGGGTTGCTGCTCATTCGGCCGTTAAAGGTTAATACAATTATTGACATCGTGGACTTATCTGCCCCATTTGTGGATGATGGATAATGTCCATAAAATCAATATTAGTATATTCTGTTAACAAGCCAGTACAGCTTAATTTTGTTTTCTTGTTCCTGGCATATCATGTGATAAGTACTCTGTGGAAGTAATTTATTTGTATTTACTGATCACAATTAAATGTTGTGTACATAATTTTCTGTTTCTAGACAGAAAGGTTCCAGTACTCACAAATGACAAGGAAAGGGTACTGATAATGTTTTCAGTTCTTTCATGAAAATAAACCTTTCTAATATAGAAGAGGGCAATGCTGAATGTCATGCTACCAACATGGCTGTCTCTCACCTGGCATTATTTTGTATATGATTTTATGGATGGGACAAAGTGGAGGAAGCTGTTGGTATGATGTAGTGTATTATATTACTAGAAGAAAATTCTAGTGTAGTGTAATGTTTGCGGTTCAGATTATTATGTATCACATTATGAAACTAGTACAGTCAGCACAGGAAATGATGTTTTGTGTATACAGTATAGAAAGTAACTAGCATCATATTTTATGGTGCTGGTATGTTTTTAATTTTACCCTAATGAAAAGCATTGTGAGTGTATGCTTACAGGAAGATCCAGTGATATGAAGTATGTGGATGTCCTTTTCTGTTGATAATTTAATCATGAAGTGTTGCTGAGGATGGGCACACATACTGCACCATGTAAGTTGCAGGTAGCAGGGTGCATTCATATTTTGTAATCAGAGAATCTCTGTGTATATTTACATTCAGAAATACACCATAAATTGGGTAATGAAAGCTGTCAGGATGGGTGTTTTCTAATTTAAATTTTAAAGAACTAGGTAACTGAATGGATTTTGATAACATTTCATAAAGAGAAATCAATGCTGTGAGCTGCAACATAAATATAATTTTGGACACACATTGATTCAGTGTGACCTCTACTTACCATTTTGCAATTTTATCTCTCAATGAAAACGTTTGTGTGTAACATAAAATACAAATATATACTCCAGTAAGATCTAGAACTTACAATTGGAACATTTTATGATAAGATATAAACTTTACAAAATACAAACAAAATAACAGAGTGTAATAACTATTGTATAATTAGTTTTGTAACACTACATTGGTATCTGTAGTAACAGGCTTTTATGTGCAGGAAATAAATTAACGCAAATAAGGTATGCAGAACCACAAAATATGCATTTGGAAAATGTGTGTTTAAAATTAGCTGGACTTAATTCTACATAATGGAGCACATGTACTAAAATTCTGCTCAGTGATTCTGGTACTTCTGGACATGCCTGTGGTGTATTTATATATTGTAACTGCACAGTATTTAATTTTTGTTGCTTCATTTTCTTGCTGTACAGGGAATTCCAAGTTTGAATTGGAGGAGCATCTTCCTTGAAATAATGCACAGAGGTTGAATCAGTTTTGGATGGACATGTTACCATTTCTTATATCTAAAAACGTTTTACATTGTCATAGTCTCTATGAAATGGTGAAACTTATTTGGTCTTTGGAACAAATCTTGACTGCCACATTTATGTTACGTTTAGTTCAATTGTAGTTTTTATGTCTGGTTTTGATGTGTTTACATTCACAAAAAACCATTGCATCCAATACAACTTTAAATG